CTAAACTAGACAATAAATGTTTGAGAAGTATTGATCTAAACTAGACAATAAAAGACAAAAATTTTTTTATGCTATTTGTATATGCAGTACAGCCCCCTCTGGTGGTTCAACAATAAGTTTGAGGGCTTATAATGTTAAAAATTTGGTTGTAATATTTGTGGTTGGCAGAGCACAGATAACCTGTTGTGTATCTCTGTGCTTAACAGCAAACAAACAAACAATATGCAGTATATATACTTTAAAGTTTGGAAAGATGGTAAAGCATTTAAAATAAACTCTATAGTCTAGTGTAATATTATCATAGTACACGGTTTAATATCTGATTATCTGCGGTAGGGCAGGTGGTTAACTTGAAGTTTCGTTTACCACATCTCTTTTCAAACTTGTATCTCATAACATGCTCTTACATATTAATTTTAAATGATGAATTATTTTACTCAGCAGTGTGTATTTTATTGAAAGTTATGTCAGTAATATATATATATATTCACTTATTTCCGTTGTTCTAAACGTTTTAAAACTATAAAGATAGTAATAAAATTTTAATTTATTTGTAAATACCGTCCTCTCTCTTTCAATATAACTTTAGTGAAAAAGTTTTAACTTTGTGTCAACCAGGTAATTAAATTCCAAGTAACATTTTGTCAAATAAAAACTAAATAAGATATTTTATTTTATTTTTTTTGTCAGGTATTGTTCAGGACTGTTGCCATGATGGTTCCGGATTATGCTTTAATTGGAGAGATTTCGTTATATTCCATGGGATTTGTTGATGCACCAAGGTAGTTTCTAATGAAACGAGTGATAAAATTTTCTAAATCAAATTAGGCAAGAATTTTTAAGTTTCAAGAAGAATTAATTTTGTGGTTTCTAAATATGTTGTCTAAATATTTTTAACAGTCACTAAATCTTTGCATGCTAGAACGTATATTGAATGATTTTTCAGTAATTTATTGACAATAATCAAAAAATATCATTTTGGCACTGATATTTCCATAATTTGAAAATCAAAAACGTATTTAAGAATATAAACTTTACATGCTTGCTTTGTTACAAAATCTTACTTTTCTGATGTTTCCATCGAGAAACTTACAGCTAAATGATCCCGAAAATCCCAAATAAAAAGATCTGAAGGTATTATGAACTGTATATTATGTAAACAACTTAATTTTTATTTAAAATATACCCGAAAACAGGGATCAACTGAATGGGATTTTAATCAGACTTTGATGGAAATAAACTGAAATATATATGCGACACTTCACTGGTGTATCATCATCATGAGTTCGAAACTACTCTATATTATAAAGTACAACTTTTCTTGAGGTTCATTTACATGAACAAGAAAATCATAAAAAATAACTAAAATAAAGAAAAGAAACACATTTGTTTTTGTATATTTGTTTATTCATCATTTTCACTTTATACTCTGCAGGTGAGATTTAGAAGTTTTATTTTAAATTTTACATGATTATTGATTTCATTGGTTGTTTACACACGATCTAGCCTAGCAGGAAAAATAGTCGCCACCTATCGGCTTTGTTCAGAACAGCTCTCATCTCAGCATCATTATGACTACGGCATGAGAGCTGTAAAATCTGTTCTGACAGCAGCTGGAAATTTAAAGTTGAAATACCCTGCCCAGAGTGAAGCAGTCCTTGTTCTGAGAGCAATTAATGATGTAAACTTGCCAAAATTTCTTGCCCAGGTAAATTTTCTAATTTTTTTGTTTATCATCAACTTGTTAATCTAGTATTTTCTCTAAAGAAAATCATTATTGTAAAGTTTTCTTTATTTTACTTATGTCTCTCTAGGATTTAGGCCTAGTACGGCCTTGTGGTTAGGGTGTTTGACTTGCTATCTATGGGTTGCGAGTTCAAATCTCCGTCACTAAACGTGCTCGATCTTTCAGCTGGTTAGCTGAAGACTGCAGTTTTGAGTTATTTCATCAGCCCCACTCAACAGATGGTGAAAAATAAAAAGCTTTGCTCACCCTTTTAGCTGTGGGGGCATTATAATGTTATAGTCATTCCTACTATTTGTTGATAAAAGAGTATCCCAAGATTGGTGGTGGGTAGTGTTGACTTCCCTCTAGTCTATCACTGCTAAATTAAGGATGGCTAGTGCAGATAGCCCTCGTGTAGTTCTTAGACTCCAGTATACGAAATTTTCTTACAATTTTTGTCCCTTTTTCAGTGACTTATTACAACAGAAAGTCCCTAACGTTTTGGATCAATACACAGACTAAAAGACACATTTGCATGTATCTCCGTCTCACCAAACATACTCTCCCTATCAGCCTTGGGAGCATTATAATGTTATGGTCAGTCCCACTATTCGTTGGTAAAAGATTAGCCCAAGAGTTGGTGGTGGGTGGTGTTGACTTCCCTCTAGTCTATCACTGCTAAATTAGGGACAGCTCAGTTTGTGCAGTTAGCCCTGGAGTAGCTTTGCATGAAATTCAAAAACAAAAAGACTCTAGGACTTTGAGCTGTTAGTATTTTTTACTGTTCAAAATATAACACTTAAACAGAAGTGAGTGTCAAATAAGTAATTATAAACCTATTAAGTTTGTACTTAAATCATTTGAAGAGCTTGATATTGATGTGTTATTCAGACAGGGATAAAATTCCACACTTAAACTAATATGGGATTTTTGAAGAGAACAAGTGAATCTAATAATGGCTGGAGACGGCTTGAATGGGTAATGAAGAAAAAACTTTAACATAAGTTTAACATAACAGCAAATGTACAACGTTTCGACAAGGTTTTGTACCTGATGATGACAAA